TCCCATCAGGTTTGGCTTGGGCTCCTACGATGGAGGAGTTAGGAGTCCAGGCAGTAGAGTCCATAGGTTTCTATGAGGTAGGAAAAGGCAAAAGAACCGATCATGTGTACGTCAGCATACTGAAATTGGATTTATATGGAGGAAGTTGAACTTAACTGGAGATACCTTCCAAATGAACGTCTTACTCTTTAGAAAAAGACAGTGTTGTAGGGCTGGGCAACTTGAAGCTGTGTGGACTTCATCTCCCAGAAGTCCCCAGCAGCATCTGTTTGGAGCACTTTAACTACAACTGTAATGGAATAGTTGATCAAATTGGGGTGGGGAAAAAAAAAAAGAAAACGAGCATTGTGGTAACACTAATGATATTTTTTTGCCTTATTTGATTTAAACAGATTAATAATGCACAATAAAAAGGTGTAAGGTTTTTAACAATCCCTTTTCAGATACTTTTAGATAGGGTTATAAGTATGATGCATCTCTAGAGACTCCTTTGTATTGATAATAGAAATGAAGGAAAACGGGACTACATCTTTTCCTGGAATTGTGTAATTGCTGTCCAGATATGATCATAGGAAAGGACATCTGCTTTAAGGTGTTGCAGACAAATGTCATATTTGTAACTCCAAGGCTGCTGCTGATAAATCCAACATGCTAACCAACCCTGAAAAAAAGACCTTGATGCATACATACTAAAAAGGTGCTACAAAGGTGGAGGAGAAAGTAGAACAATATAAAGTAACTAGCTGTCTCCTGTACTCTTTTTAAGTTTTGTCGTTTTTTTAAAGGGCACTGAAAGCTAAAGTATAGTCTCTTCTGCTCTGGTTTAGCATTTCTGATCCACAGTCCTGATGGGCAGGGTTGAGAGAAAGGTGCTTTAGTATACAATCAAACTAAATGTGTAATTTTCAGTGGTTAAAAAAATTATCCCAGTCGTAATGAAGGCCTTTGAACTGTACTTTAGTTTTTCAATCAAGACACCTGCAGTATCTCTTGATGCATATATTAACATTTGGGCATGCAACACATATCCACCCTCAAATTTCAAAGGGCGTTTCCAGGTCTTCCATTTCAGACAAGATGCTGGCTTGCCCTGTAGATTAAAAAATTAAGACATAATCCTCTTAACTGATATTAAGCTTTCTCCAGACGGTGCTTTGGCTTCACACCGTATCTAGAAGCTCCAGTTTGGTGCTGCCATCGCCAGAAAAAGCAATGAGGAGTCCCTAACCTGGGGGGGAGAGAGAAATACTGATATTTAGAATGACAACAGATGCCTCAAGATCTCAAGTCTATGCCAAGACCTCCAGCTGAGAATTAATATTCTAATGTTCCAGCCTTATTTCCTCTGGGGGACCACAGATAGTGTGCTGGTTAGCCACATACTACCCACAGGTTACTTACCACTCTTACTTATACTTTGGAAATAACTGCCCCATCTGAGCATTTGTTATATACCTCCTTCCCTTAGTAAGACCACTCCACATCAGAAGATGTAGCTATCTGTAGTAACCTTGTCAATCACTCTAATCTGTGATATTCTGGAAACCAAACCAGAGCTAATGTACCATGTTAACTCATCAATCTTCTCCAATAAGTATAAAAAAATATTTAGTAGAATACTAAAGGGATTTAGCTTTAGCAGAAAACTAGCAGAATCCAATTGAACATCTAGCTTCTGCATCTTTATACTTGAAATAACTGCAGAAACACTGCACTAATGTTATCCATTCCTGCAGCATCAGTAAGTCTGAAATCTCCAAACTGTTCTACATGAAATTCATCTGCTGGAAAAAGTAGTCCAGCTGGAACTTAAACATTCCTCTCCCATGAGACAGCCACAGACGAGACTACCGGTACAAACCAGTGACACAAATATGTAACACGTTTACCCCCGTTGCCAGTAGCTGAAATGTGGAAGGCTGGGGAAAAGATAAAACTTGCAATTCAAGTAATCCTTCTGTCAACACCTTCATTTATGATGGTAATGGGGTTTGCCCCTCATGGTTGCAATTTGTGATGATTGTAAACGGGTTGGTCACGTAAACAGTCCCCAACCCCTGGTCTGCGGCTGGGTATTTCATTTGTGTAAGTGGTGCATGCATACGCGAAACCATCCCGTCACTGGTCTGCAGAGCTGGAAAGATTGGGGACCGCTGGATCACATGACCGACCTTTTTTACAGCAGTTGTTAAATGAACCAATGGTTTTGTCGAAAACTGGAAGCAGATGCCGTTTTTTTTTGTTAAAGACATAGAACAGTCATGTGACTGGAATGTTACAACCAACCATAAATGTGGTCCAGCTGCTAAGCACCCAAAGTTTAGCCATGTGACCTTGAGGGGCATCAGAACTTCGAATCTGGTCCTAAGTAGCTCCCAGGCAGGTCTGTCACAACCTTGACTGGTTCCTAGCTCACCAGTCAAGAATCACCTGTATAAGCGGAAATAAACAATGGTCACCCTTTAGAGCAGGCATGTCAAACTCGCGACGTCACGTGACATCGCGCAACGTATCAGGCCAATTTTGCCATTGCTGGCAATGGGGTGAGCATGGCTTCCACGTGACATGTTCGGCCTGCGGGCCGGCAGTTTGACACCCCTGCTTTAGAGCAGGGCTTTTCAACCAGTGGTACGGGTACCACCTGTGGTACATTGGCACCTGGCAGGTGGTACGCGACCATCCTAGAAAAGTGGTAGCGGAGGAGGGGAATGAGCTGAACCGGTGGCAGCACTGTACAAGCCTGAGCAAGAGATGGCTGGAGCTGCAGGGTTGTCAGGGCTCAGCGGAAGCGCCAGGATCAGCACTTCTTCAGGGCTGTCAGGGCTCAGTGGAAGCGCCAGGATCAGCACCAGGCTCCAGCTGGAGCTCTTCACTGATCCTGGTGCTTCTGCTAAGCCCAGAAGAAGCACCAATCAGCTGGAATGTTGCAGCATCTCCAGGGTCTTGTGATTTACATTCAGATGCTAGGCAACTGATTCATATTTATGACTGTCAGTGTCCCAGGGTCATGTGACGTGACCAAAACCTGCTGCAACCACCCAGCAGATGGGGGGGAATAAAAACCAAACACCCCCCCACCCCCGCTGCCAATACTCAACAGAAATGCTCACAACAATGAAAACCTCGGACAGGAGGAAGAGCGTGGCCGGGCAGGCAAGCAGGTGTCTTGCTCGGCTGTGCCTTGGGGGACACTTTTTTCAGTGCCATTGTAACTTCAAACAGTCACTAAGCAAACTGTTGTAAGTTGAGGACTACCTGTACTTTATCACTTTTCCCCCTTTTTTTTTTGGTTATCAAGTTTTTGACACCTTGCTAGGTGACTGGTGGTACTCGGATATCCTGAAAGTGGTACAATGGATGAAAAGGTTGAAAAGCCCTGCTTTAGAGTATTAGATTGCACTGACAGAAAAGTCAGTTGCTCGTCACTGCTGCTCACAACCTCTGCTAGACTTTGAACACCACCAGACTGAGGCAGATGGCAATGTTTTAAAAAACTGACTTTAATCAAATGGGAGAAAATTCAGGTTTCTGAAAAGGAAAAAGGTATTTTTGAAAATCCAGCCCAAGCCAAAATATCCCAAAATTACACATGTTCAAAAACAAAAAGAAAGAGGTGTTAGAGCAAAAGAGAACAGAGAGGGGGAAGAAGGGATTATGAGAAGCTAAAGAGACTAAGAGTGGGGGAGAGGGTGGGAGAAAGAAAACAACAGAAAAAATTATTGGACAATCTTTCAAAACTTGAAAAACAAAACTGAAACAATGTGACGAGAGGAAAGTGAAAATGGGTGGTGCATTTTCAAGTTTACCTGTAAAGAACGGAGGACAGAGGGAGAAAAAAATAAATTAAAAAAAAAACTTAGCATGACAACTCCAGAACACAACAGAAGAGGAGACTGTGAAGATCATCTTGTGTGTTGATCTGATTTCACAGCTGTGCACCGTGCCTTCACTGGATTTGCTTCGTTTTGTCGTGGCCACATCCTTGCGGGGTTTTTGTAACAAAGAAGTCTCTCACATTCTCCTTTGCGTAAGAAAAAAGTCTTTGAACTGGTAGGAAATATGTGAAGACAGATTTTGCTTTGCTCTTTCCCCCGCAGACTGTTTTTGTGTTTGACTGGAGAGGTGGGCATCTCTCAAGCTTTTTCATAGCCAGGCCGTAGCTCGGAAGAGGAAAAAACTGAGACAGTGTTAGTTTTTGAGGAGCATAATAAAGAACACAAAATGTGCACGCAAAACCTGAATTTTTCATCTTCAGAGGAAACCATCTGTTAAATTCATCATTATAAAAGTAGAAAAACATGGGTTTTTTTCTCTCTCTTAAGAAACAAAGAATTTGTCTAGTATTATTTACAACTTGTAGCTTCTGTACAAAACCATATTTCACATATATTCACATAGAGCCATTATGTGCTCATGTACCGGTGCCTTTTTCAGATCTGTCAAGTGGAATAAAACAATGCCTGGTGAGACTTTACTAAAAAAAAGTAATAATAATAAAAAATAAGTTAAGAGGGATTGCTCTGTGGCTCAGGGAGAAAATCTTCTAGCTTCCTGAATCTTTATGACAATGAAGAGATGGTAACACACAAGGCAGCAACATCATCTCCCATAATTAATCCACAGATTTCCAACTTTTTATCCTGGCAATTTCGGACTACCGGGGGGGGGGAGGGGAGAAGAGAGACAGGGGCTCTAGCAACTCATGGATCTTGACATGAGAGGAAGGGGGAGGAACAGATGACTGCAAATGGTGCAAAACTATTCTTCCCTGAAACCTCCTTTCCCTGTTGCTGGCAAACCCCAAGACTCGAACTCTCTGCTCTTCTGGCTTCCGGTGATCTCAGATGCCATCTGACGTTCGTGGATCTTACCCTCTTCTATCCAAGTGCGTTGTGGACAGCGGGTGAAGTGGCAGAGCAAGTCCCAGCTTGCCCACAGCAGCCAACTGCGTCTGATTTTATATACATATATACACACACAAAGACTGACATATATCTATATATATATGTACATGTTAAAAACAGGCTAGAACAGGGCAGTGGGTTTTTTGTTTCCTGCTTTCAGAAATTGGCCAGGACCGCCAAGCTCTGCTTGCAGTCAATCTTGGTGGCGTCGGGGCTATTGTACACAAGGGACAGAGCTGCAAGGAAAGCTTGGCACTCCTCCTCGCTCTCGAAGGCCAGCTCTGACACAACGTAGGAGACCGGAAGCACCGGGCGGAAACTGAGGGAGATAAAAAGAGACACTGGTGAATGGGAAAGGGCAGCACATGAGAAACTATGACAAGCAGAAATCCTGCTGACGTGGGGCTCTTTACCTTTAGTTACCCTGGCAATAGGTGGAAACAAAGTCAACCCAAGTCTTTCAAGTTCCTCCTTCCAGTATTTCAAATGACCTGGGAATTTCAAGCAGTGAGGACATACCTCCTGAAGGATGGCCCTGCGTATAATACATGCTGCTTGTGGGCTTGCTACAGATATTGGCTGGTCACTGAGGGGAAAATGCTGGACCAGACAGACTTCTGGTAAGAGTTCAGGGGTTCCCTTATACTGAAGAGGGGAGAAATGGAACTACTCCAAGAGGCTTTGAGTATCGCCCCCCCCCCGCCCCCACTACCACAAATAATGGCAGCTTTTGAAACTGCCTTCTACCTTTTAACGGAGTGGTTCTGAAACATGGATTAAGGGAAAAAGAAAGAAAAAGTACTCCTTAGGAACGATTCAAGATGAACAGATTGGGATGCTTAACTAAAGGGAAGCTGCTATCCTTTTCACGCAATCTCTAGGAGAGATCATTTTCAGAAGTTAGTCTGGTTAAGATCCGTTTTCTTAGTGTGTTTGCTGATCATGCTGCCAGCGTTAATACATCAGTGTGATGTGCTTTTTTTTTTTTTTTTTTTTTTTGGTAATTGATTAGCCAAACCGAAAGAAAATGCTGCAAGGGGTTAGTCGTGATTCTTGCTCATCACTGGAGAACAGGAGACTTGGACTCAGAAAAAAGGAAATGATGTCTCTTCGCAACGATAGGGACAACATTATAAAAATAAAGTTGTGCCTCCCATAGTAGAGAAATAACCCTACACCAGAATAACTTTCTATGGCATTCTTTGCGAGTGATCAAGACTATTTTTTTGGAAAGAAGGAGGACAGAGAACGGTACGTGTGTGCAGAAGCATAACACCTGAGCAACTAACACTTATCATTCTTTTTTAGAGCAAATTCCATTCTTCCTGCCTCCCTGGTTTTAACTATTCATTATCAGAGACCAGCATACAAAACAATAGATTTATCTTTTTATCATTCACCAAACATTTGTTCCTATGTCCTGGCCACTTCTTGCTCCCGTGCCAGAGTTCCTTTCTGCACTGAGGCTACCTTGACCCAACTGCTGGGGACAACCACCATCTCTACAGCAGGGCCAAGCATTGGTACAGCACCTCACCTCGTTGTCTCCCTATTTTATCCGCCCAAAATGTGGGAAGGGAAAAGGCCAGAAAGGAGAGCTATAAATGGAGAGATTGCCTCCCAACTGACTGCGAGAGAACCAGGATGAATATTCAAAGCACAAGGACATCTATTGAGAACGCCTGTCTCTGGCAGACCGAGTCTGGCCTTTCAGGTATAGGATGAAAGATAAGAGCAAAGTCTAAACCACGAAGGCAATCTGTGAGGTCTACTCCGATTCTTCCCACAACCCTGTATTTTCAGTTTGGCTTTGCTTTGTCTAATGGCTTATTTTACTCTTTGATTTATATCTCACCTTTATTTATGAAACCCAAACCAGCGTATGCAATGTTCTACGCCTCCTATTTTTCTCTCAAGTGCAATCCTGTGAGGGGACGAGGGCTGAGAGACTTCCCAACCAGCTGCCATGCCTAAAGAAGGACTAGAACTCACAACCTCCCTTTCTAGTCCTGTCCCTAAACCACTTTATTGTCAGGTACCCAAATAAAACATTTTTCAAATGAACATGACTTCTAGATCCACATTTCAGAGTCAAAGCTTTTTCGGCGAAAGAATTTGTTTTTGATCTAAGCAAATCAAGAAAGTTCCGGTGAACCTGCCACCTGAGGGACAGCCGAGCCAGGTTGTAATCAAGCATCCTAGATGCTTGCCTTACTAGATTGCAATTACCATACTTACCTGCCCAGGGCAAAGCCACCTTCCTTGAAGTTGCTAAAAAGAGTACCCCATTTGACTCACTTTCTAACTACTGGACACTAATCTGCCCCTTTGCCAGACATTGCAACCAAGGTGGAGCGGGAGGGAAGTGTGCAGGTGTGAGGCATTCCCCTCCCCCCTTTCAACCCAAGGACTGGTTCAGCTCCACATACGTTTTGATCATGGCTTTGAGGGCCGTTTTCCTCTCTCGCTCTGCAAACTTGTCAATGAGGTAGCCAGACATGCAAGGGGCCTGGCGGTACAGACAGAAGAAACGGTGGTAATTGGAGAGGGCCCAGGCAGCTCGCAAGGCAAGGGCATGTGCCACACAGGGGTCCGTTTTCAACTCCTTTGTCAGGTATGCCAGCTCAGTTGTGATATCTGCAGGAGGGAGAAAGGCAAGTCACCCCAGCTGTCTCTCAAAACAACCCATTTCTCACTTACAGGTATTCCTCAAGCTTACGACACTGAAAAAAAGCAAATTCTGAGAAGCCTTTGCACTTATGATCATCGCAGCATCCCTGCGGTCACATGATTGCAACCAGGAAGCTTCGCAACTGGCTCCCCTTTTTGACAGTTGCAGCATTCCAGGGTCACGCGATCCCCATTTGCAACCTTCCCGGGCAGCTTCCAACAAGAAAAGTCAATGGGGAAGCCGGCAGGGAAGGTTGCAAATTGAGATCATGAGATATGTTGCTTAATGACTGCACTGCTTAACAACAAATTTTCAATTGGGATTGTAATTCAAGGATCACCAGTACTTTCATCGTGAACTGACTTAGGCTAAAATATTTACTCTTCTTTGCTCTAACCTGTTTGGCCTGCTCTATTAAATCCACTTTAGTCTTTAAAATTATTTTCCCCAAAAGCTTCTCTAGAATTTTAAGTCTCCTATAATGACTGACACCAGCGATTATGGGAAAAAATAGCTGGAAGAAAGATATACAGAATCTGGGAGCATCTGTATGACCGCTTGGGTTAAATAGGCAAAGATTGTTTGTCAGAAATTCTCCACAACAGGAAGGATTCCCAGATGTTGAAGTAAATTCAAAGACTAGCCTCAAACTATCTCCCAACAGCCTCACCACGCACCTCCAGAGTTCTTGGTAAAAATGTAATAGAGAATACGGTAAGCAGTGAATTCTCCAACATTTCCTGGAAGATTCTCTGCATAAAGAGACTTCAGTTGTGTCTGGCACTGGTTGAACTCCTCGTGATCACCCTGGGAAAAAATAAATCATCATTAGGGAAAATATTTAAGGTGTCATATACCAGAATCTTTGCTACAGTATGATAGCAAATTGACTGAGCTCTCTGGAAAAGTCTGTTATACTGGGAAAGGTATAAAGAAAAAGGAAGAGGATCAGCAGCAAGGACTCAATGATAGCAGCGATGGATACATCACTGGAAGAACTGAAGGATCAGGCTGGGGATGGATCATCAATGGAGAAAATCCTCGGTAGTCAATTAAGAGCTGATGGGACAGGTAGTCCTCGACTTACAATTCATTTAGTGTCTGTTCAAAGTTACAACGGTACTGAAAAAAATGACTTATGACTGTTTTTCATAGTTACGACCACTGTGGCATCTCCATGGTTACGTGATGAAAATTCAGAGGCTTGGCAACTGACTCACATTTATGACAGTTGCAGTGACCTGGGATCATGGGATCACATTTTGCAACTCTCTGATGTGGGGAAGCCAGATTCACTTAACAACCGTGTCACTAACTTAACAATTGCAACGATTCACTTAACAATTGTGATAAAAGGTCATAAAATGGGGCAAAATTCACTTAACAAATGTCTGGCCTAGCAACAGAAATTTTGGACTCAACTGAGGTCGTAAGTCGAGGACTACCTTTATATAATCAACAATTCAATCAAAATCTGAGCCAGACAAATCAGTTCTCTTGTATTGCCATGTCGTTATGAGTAAAACACAAAAAGACCAATTTACACTTTTTACGCTCTGCCAAGTATAGAAGGTGCTGTTATCTTTATGTCAAGCTTATTTAATATTACTCTATTTTTATAGTGCCTTGACCCAAGAGGAACACATTCATTATAGAGTAAAATCAAATGTTTTCTACAATCCTTAAAGGAATATAAATTGCCCAAATAATTTTGGGGGTAGGAAGGTGTACATGGTTAAAAAAAAAAAAGCCAGGGAGACAAAGTTGTTGAACAGGACTTCCAAATCATCTCTCTAGTCATTTTCCTGTTTTGGAGTCTGTGCCGTAAAATAAAAGCATGTTTTCAAAATTTGCCCAAGAAAACAGATTTCCTTCCACAACTAAGAAGAGGGAAATGACTCCTACTAGATAAGATTTACACTGTGTGGAAGTACCACATGACAGAAGGTGACTGCTTCAATGTATTTATCCACGGTGGAGTTAAATTATTTCAAATTCAAAACAGGGCATTTCAATTTCAAAATATTTCAAGTTAAACGGTTTTGCACACCGTTACATTCTTTCTTCCAAAGTGTAGCGATATCTAATATTTATGTTAATGAGAATGCAAATAGGGGAAAGATATCAATTGATAAAAATGGAATTAAACCTGGAACCATGGAGCGTTATCTTATTAATATTATTTTGCTAGGTCTTACCTTCTCCAGAGCTATTCTGGCATGGGTTTCATATACTTCCACAGTGAATTCTGCACGGATTCCTTGAACCTAAACAGAGCAAGAGAGAGATTGCCAAGAATTCATATATTAACTTGGGTGACTTGAAATTTCTACACACAACAGAAGGAAGAGGTTGGAATAGAGATTCACTTAATGACTGCCACCAAAAAAGGTTGTAAAATTGGATCGGCCACAAAGGCCATATGAATGTAAATGGACAGGCTCCATTACAGTTGTCAGTTGAGAATTATCTGAAAGCCCTTCAACAATCCCAGATCAGGTACATACAATGAGGGGAAAAATTATTTGATTCCCTGCTGATTATGTACGTTTGCCCACTGACAAAGAAATGATCAGTCTATAATTGTGATGGTAGGTTTATTTTAACAGTGAAAGACAGAATAATAACAAAAAAAAATCCAGAAAAACGCATTTCAAAAAAGTTATAAATTGATTTGCATTTTAATGAGTGAAATAAGTATTTGATCAGCAAGATTTTTGGCTCCCAGGTGTCTTTTATACAGGTAACGAGCTGAGATTAAAAGCACTCTTAAAGGAAGTGCTCCTAATCTCAGCTTGTTACCTGTATGAAAGACACCTGCCCACAGAAGCAATCAATCAATCAATCAGATTCCAAACTCTCCACCATGGCCAGGACCAAAGAGACACTGTACAAGGATGTCAGGGAGAAGATTGTAGACCTTCACAAGGCTGGAATGGGCTACAAGATTATTGCCAAGCAGCTTGGTGAGAAGGTGACAACACTTGATGCAATTATTCACAAATAGAAGAAACACAAAATAACTGTCAATCTCCCTTAGTCTGGGGCTCCATGCATGATCTCACCTCGTGGCGTTTCAATAATCATGAGAATGGTGAGGAATCAACCCAGAACTACATGGGAGGATCTTGTCAATGATCTCAAGGCAGCTGGGACCATAGTCACCAAGAAAACAATTGGTAACACACTATGCCGTGAAGGACTGAAAGCCTGCAGCGCCCACAAGGTCCCCCTGCTCAAGAAAGCACGTGTACAGGCCCGTCTGAAGTTTGCCAATGAACATCTGAATGATTCACAGGAGAACTGGGTGAAAGTGTTGTGGTCAGAGGAGACCAAAATCGAGCTCTTTGGCATCAACTCAACTCACCATGTTTGAAGGAGGAATCCTGCCTGTGACCCCAACAACACTATCCCCACTGTCAAACATGGAGGTGGAAATCTTATGCTTTGGGGGCGTTTTTCTGCTAAGGGAAAAGGACAACTTCACCGCATCGGGGTCATGTACCATCAAATCTTGGGTGAGAACCTCCTTCCCTCAGCCAGGGCATTGAAAATGGGTCATAGATGGGTATTCCAGCATGACAATGACCCAAAACACATGGCCAAGGCAACAAAGGAGTGGCTCAAGAAGAAGCACATTAAGGTCCAGACCGTAATCCCATAGAAACTCTGTGGAGGGAGCTGAAGGTTAGAGCTGTCAAACATCAGCCTCGAAACCTTAATGACTTGGAGAGGGTCTGCAAAGAGGAGTGGGACAAAATCCCTCCTGAGATGTGTGTAAACCTGGTGGCCAACTACAAGAAACATCTGACCTCTGTGACTGCCAACCAGCACTTTACCACCAAGTAGGAAGGGGTCAAATACTTATTTCATTCATTAAAATGCAAATCAATTTATAGCTTTTTTGAAATGCGTTTTTCTGGATTTTTTTGTTGTTATTCTGTCTCTGACTGTTAAAATAAACCTACCATTGAAATTATAGACTGATCATTTCTTTGTCAGTTAGCAAATGTACAAAATCAGCAGAGGATCAAATATTTTCCCCCCTTACTGTATCAAGGGCAGACTGTGAATATCTTTTATTTCCAGAGAAGTTTCCAACTCCTTCTTCTAAAATCTATGTTTTTACCTTCACAAAAGGCAACAGTTGGCAATGGAATGTAGGCAAAAGAAGTAAGTTTTAAGATATTGTCCCACTAATGTCATATCAAGGCTACTCTATTCACAATGGGCTGGTGCTGGGTTTAACCAAACTAGCTACCAGGTAAAGAACCAGAGATCATTCTAACATTTAAAAATACTGGTTTTGTAGCTGATTTTCCTTTATGGAATTTGAGTTAAACTCACAAATGTCAGCTAGTATACTCAGCATATGTCTGCTAGCAAAATCTTAAATTTGATCATTTTTTCTATGGCATGAAAAAGCTTGAAACCCTCCGATTTAAAAATCTTACCGTTAAGATATTTTCCAACCTTTAAAAAAAAAAAAAAAGGGGGGGGAGAGGGAGTGTTCTACTCCAATTACACTCCAATTACAATATAAAGCTCTACTCTAATTTAAAAACCCAATTCTTATTCTAAAGTAGCTAAAGTTCCTCTAACTTCTCCACCTTCAAAATGACAACTAGCAACCAAATATATTGAGATACATTTTAATCCAACTATCATAGTGGTGGCCAGCTTCATATTCTATTGATGTCCAGTTTGTTTTGGCTTTGCTAATTGTGGCTTTGAATGATGCATGAAGACGGCCACATATGACTTAACATGGTTAAGTCTAATCATGGTTAGAAAATTATAGCTAGCATTCATATTGTGAATTGAGCCACGTCTTTCTGCCCCCCACCAAGGCCTGAACAGGCTTACTGTAAGGTCCTGCCGGATTGATTTCATCTGCTCACAAGCATAGGCATAATCTTGCTTCTCTTTCCAGTGGGATTTCACTGCAGATAAAGATTTTTTAAGTACCTGGGAGAAAAGAGGGAAGCACAGTTTAAAGATATCTGGCAAACATTAATCAACTTCTAAAACAGCTCTGGAATAAGACTGGACCTTGCCCAGGAAAAAGAGCTTTCAAAAAGGGTCAAACAAAATATTTTGTACAAACAGACATGAACTGCTGATGGAGGAATGATGACCAGTGCCAAGACTGCAGAATGGCGTAACTATTCTCCTAGATTAGCCTGCACTTTCTGTCCAAGGAATGTTCAAGGCAACTGACAGAATTTATATTTAACAGTTCTTCCGCCCCCAAAGAACACACCCAGTTTGTCATTTCCTGCCTACTAGTAAAAAAAATAGTCAGTCTGCAATTCAGCAGTCCAAGTCGAAGCCTGCCCATCCACCTTAACTTTAAAACATAAATGCTGGACAACGCAATGCTGTAGAGAAGCAGAGTGGATCTTTGTTATGCACAGGATAGGAGTAAAGGAGTATATATCTTTTTTGTACCACTTCATCCTGTCTAGTGCACAATCTCTATTCTTGCACGCCTGGCTGGGCAAACCTGTTTCTTCTTCCTCTTCCTTTCTTAGAATTTTTCACATCCTATCGCTGTCTATTGCCTTGAAACCAACTCAGAACTGTTAAAAAGGACAGGTCAAAATAGAAAGCAAAATAGAAGCAAACACGTACTACAGGTAGTCCTTGACTTATGACCACAACTGAGCCCAAAGTTTCTGTTGCTAAATGAGTTGTTTGTTTTGCCCCATTTTATGACCTTTCTTGGTCCAGTTATTAAGTGAATCACTGCAGCTGTTCAATTAGTAACATGATTAAAGTGAATCTTGCTTCCCCATTTACTTAGCTTGTCAGAAGGTCACAAAAGCTGGTCACATGAAGCTGGGACACTGCAACCATCATAAGTACGAGTCAGTTGCCAAGCGGCTGAATTTTGATCACGTGACCATGGGGATGCTGAATCGGTCATAAGTGTGTGAAAAACGGTCATGTCACTTTTTCAGTGCCATTGTAACTTTGAACAGTCACTAAACGAACTGTTGTAAGTCAAGGACTACCTGTAGGCAAGTTCTTTGAAAAGACTTTTTGCTTTCCCTTGGCGGTTACTCACTGAAAGAGGCCGGACAGTGGAGGGGTCTGGGGCACAGGTGAGGCGCAGGTAATGCTTTGTGATATCTTGGCAGGTGCCTACAATCTTCAGCTCATTCCAGTCAAGGCCATCAGAGCCAACGGTGTCAAGAGCATTGATCTGTAGGATAAGAGGTTCCAGACGCAGCTTTTTTGGATGGGCTCCGTGCTGGAAGCGGGCTGCCCTCCGTTCCTTCTTGAATTCCTTTTCAGGGTCTTCATAATCCATAGTGTTGCGTTTCCGATTGCGCTTGGGAGGACCTTGATCATGTCTGGAGAGAGAGATGAATTGGATGTGTTGCTAAGACCCTTATGTAATCATCCAAGCAATAGTTAGGAGTATTTGTGTTAACTGTTTTATACGAATTATTGCAATCATAGATCTTCATGATTAATGCTGTAGTATCTTTGTTCACTGATTAATATAACAGAGTTGGAAGGGACCGTGGAGGTCATCTAGTCCAACCCCCGTGCTCAGGCAGGAAACCCTATACCATTTCAGACAATTGGCTGTCCAGTCTCTTCTTAAAAACTTCCAGTGTTGGAGCATTCACAACTTCTGGAAGCAAATTGTTCCACTGATTAATTATTCTAACAGGAAATTTCTCCTTAGTTCTAGGCTACTTCTCTCCTTGATTACTTTCCATCCATTGTTTCTTGTCCTGCCTTCAGGTGCTTTGGAGAATAGATTGATGCTCTCTTCTTTGTGGCAATCCCTTAAGTATTGGAACACTGCTATCATGTCACCCCTAGTCCTTCTTTTCATTAGACTAGACATACCCAATTCCAGCAACTTTTCTTTATATGTTTTAGCCTCCAGTCCCTTAATCATCTTTGTTGCTTTTCTCTGCACTCTTTCTAGATTACAATTTAAACACAACATAAGCACTTTAGGGCATGAATGGAAGTGGAAAAACGTCACAGGAAGCAGAATGGGCAAAGAAGGGAGTCAAAAAGCTGCAAAGGAACTATGTCAAGAAATGCAATGAGCTGGAAAACTGAAATTTACAACTGATGCCAAGAAGGCAAGAGGAACTTATGAGGTCTCTAACAGAATGATTTGTTATCTGAAATCTAAAAAAAAACAAAAAACCAGAAATGCATAGAGAAGCTGGAGAAATCCCAAGACAGCTAAGCTAATCAAAATCAGGAAAGACCTTTTTAAGATTACATGTATGTATAGCAATAGTACTTAGACTTATATACCTGTCCATAGTGCTTTACAGCATTCTCTGAGCGGTTTACAATTGCTAGCATATTGCCCCCAACAATCTGGGTTCTCATTTTAACAACCTCACAAAAATGGAAGGCTGAGTAAACATTGAGATGATCAGGATCGAACGCCTGGCTGTGGGCAGAGTCAGCTTGCAATACTGCATTCTAATCACTGTGCCATCACGGCTCCTCAGTATGTATGAATGTAAGGCCAAAATGGAAACTTCTGAAGAAATGTATGATAATCAACTCTACAATGAACTTGGCTGAAGCCCTCTTGTTCATTCTAGGTTGCCACAAGAAAGGGAAGGGGTGCAGAGTGTCTTTGCTAGTCTAAACAATTCTGGGTCCTGTGGGAACCAAAGTCATTCTATCAGTTAGCTTAAGGGATTGGGCATTTTGTTAGAAAGCCTGCCAAATTATTCTATTAAGGAACAGAGCTGAGTGCAAAGGCATTGGGGTGGGAAGTTTGACTTTGTAATAATGTAACTTTTTGGAGGGAATTTCAGACTTGGTTTCACTTTTGACCTTGCCGATATTTTGTAACCAATAAACATGTTCTCTGAGGAAACCTCTAGCTTCGAGTTCTGATTTTGTTGGTCTTAGCATCGGAACCATGACATACGATACTTCAAGGAAAAGCCATATCTGCTATACAAGTAATCACATGTGTCAGTAGGAAACAATCCCTTTAATAAAACTGTATTAAATCTGGGTTGGGTCTCACTCTTGAATTGTTGAAAATGCCTAAGGATCTTGCAGAATAGGATTGGCATGCACTGAGGACTTTGTGCATAACAGTTCTGAGTACAGCACTGCTTCTTGCATGATTCCATTTCTCTGAGGGTCAAAAACTAAAAATTTCTTACAATCACTCTTACAAGTTCTATTTCCAAATCACCTATTAGCAAACAGCAATCACACTGAAGCCCCTCTCCCCGTGCAACTTGCCTTTTTCCTCGCTGTGTTCTCATCCGCCCTCTATCCATGTGGCCTCCACGCCCTCGGTTTTTCTGAGTATTCCGACGGCCACCCAAGCGACACTCATTTCCAGAATAGGAGCTGTCTGAATCTGAATCACTATATAAGATGAAGAAAAGATTTACCTTTGGCTGTTACGTTAAACTCAAGACCTGGTATTGTTTTAATCAGCACAAAAAAAAAACCTCAATAAAATGAACAATATTATTTTATTTGAACTGTAAAGTTACATTCTTCCACTAGTCTTGGTTTGTAACTTCTCTTTTGTTTCAAAACTGAAACTTCTAGCTCTAATGTAATAGGCATATTCATATCAAACAGGTGAAGCTTTGCAGGATCCAATTGCATCGGTCCCCGGGAGCAGAGCTTTAGTAAGTTCCCTGAGGATGAGCTCTAACACAAATCTGATAGCTTGGAAGGCTAAACCTCTGGTCCTGGTGACCAACTCAGATTTAGATCCTGCAACATTATTCTGGGACGCATACATGTGCCTTCATTCATCAGGGGGAGTTTTAATCACCTTGGCTGTGCACATATGCAAGGAATGAAGTGATACCTCCAATGTAGAACCAATGGAACTGCACAGACGCAAGATAACTGTCACAAATATATTCTATTCTTTGACCTCCGTTGTTTACCTTCTTCGGAAGTGGCGACTGGGAGATCGGGATGATGACCTTGACCTAGAACGTGAATCAGCACTTGAGGATGAGCTATTTTCCTTCATAAAAACATTGCGGTTTCCAAATTTGGTGGGGAAGGCATTCCCACGAGTCCGACCAGTCCCAGCTCCTCCACTACCTCCCCCTCGCTGGGGCTGGGAATTACCACCCCCGCTCCTCTGCTGCTGTTGAGCAAGGCTTGATTGCATAGAAGCACGGGGCGAGTGGAGAGAAGACACTTCCCAGCGCTGCTGTTTTTTCTTGGGGCTTTCAGACAAGTTGTCTCGGCCCAAGCTGTAGAAAGAAGAACAGATCTGCTGAATCTTAGGAAATGGTTTTGTGAATGAGCAAGCTACTCACCATGCCAACTACTAGGCCATCCATTCTATGCACTCAAAACTCTAAACATACACACCAGCTAAAAAAGCTGAGCGTGTTGTGTGCTAACTCCACTAGATGCAATCAAGTCTACTAGCCTTATCTGCCGCTTAAGGAAAATACATCCTGAAAAAAAGAACAGAAATCTTGGTCTTCCAAGCATTCTCCCCTTCTTAGTTTATTAGATAGAGGTAAGAAAGTTACAAGTAGTCATCGACTTACAACTGGTCACTTAGTGAATGTTTGAAATTATGACAGACCTTCCCAAGGGTTACTTATGACCCACATTCGAAGTTCTGACAATCAGGGCGCTCCTGCGGTCCCATGATCACATTTTTGGTATCCAGCAATCAGCCCATTTATAATCATTTCCAGTGTCCCACAGTCATGTGACCACAAGTTATTATGCTGATTTTGTTTGCTGAAAACCAATGACTGTTTCTGGCAAAAATGTCCATTATGGACAATGGATTTGTTTAATGACTGCTGAAATAAAGGTAACAAAACAGACATGGTCACATTTTGACCCACTTAATGACTGGCATGATTTACAACCATGATTCTGAGCTCAATTATGGTCATAATTTGAGGACTACCTGTATTCAAATCTCCAGTCAGTGACAATGTTCATCACTCTCCAGTTGATTACTTATATTTTTGCCTCTCCTTATCTTAAAATAATACTATCAGGAGGGAAATAAATACAACTCACTAAGATTATTTGGGTTATTTATGCACTTCACCTCTTCTCCCAAAATTACTCACCCAGGCAATGGTTCCCTGCTCCAGTCAATGGTATAGGCAGTGCCATCCTGCAGCCTAGCCTGTAGGACCTCCTTAAGTAGCTTCTCTGTGCGGTCTTTGTCCTCCTCTGACTCACAAGCGGTGAAGCAACGCTGGACATATTCCTTCATGTCCTGTGGCCAATCTTCAGGCTTACCCGTTGAAGAACTATATGGAAAAAGAAAATATTAAAATAGGAAGGCTCCACTAATACATTTAGTTAACTGCAATGCACACTTCAGAAGTGGTTAGATTATTTGAAAGGAAGCTAAACAGTTTTAAAAACTTCCATAACTGGAAGCTTAATTATCTCATTATGCAGCCTATTCCATTCCATCTCATTTTTTAACACAGTATGCTCCACATTTAAATATTTGCTGGCTGTCTCATTGGCCCCATTATTTCCGGGTCATATTGTCACTTGGCAATTCATAAGCAGAGTAGCTGAGATTCAACCACCAATCTGAATAAACTTCCTAGGGCAGTGGTGGCGAACCTTTTAGAGGCCGAGTGCCCAAACTGCAAGCCAAAACCCACTTATGCATCGCCAGGTGCCAGGTGAGCACGGCCAGAGTGGGCGTGGCCACCAAGCTGTCGGCTCGTGCTCACTTGTTCGCTTGCTGTCCGCTCCGACTTGTGCTCACTTGCTTGCTGTCTGCAGCAAATGCTGCTTACGCCAAAAGTTGCTCCTTTTATAGCCTCTCGCCTATTCCCAGACTGCACATGCACGGAGAGGAGGAGGGAACAGCTCAGCCCAGCAATGGCTCACGTGCCATCAGAGACAGCTCTGTGTGCCGCCTGTGGCACGTGTGCCATAGGTTTGCCACCACGGTCCTAGGGCCTTACAAGGTGATAAGAGGTAGTCCTTGACCTATGAACACAATTGAGCCCAAAATTCGGTTGCCAAGATAGTTGTTAAAGGAGTTTTGCTCAATTTTATGACTTGTCTTGCCACAGTTAAGTGAATCCCTGCAGTTGTTAAGTTAGTGACATTGTTGTTAAGTGAATCTGGCTTCCCCATTGATTTTGCTTGTCAGAAGGTTGCAAAAGTTGATCCCATGACACTAGGACACTGCAACCGTCATAAATGTAAATCGGTTACCAAGTGGCTGAATTTTGATCATATGACTGTGGGGACGCTGCAACGGTCAGAAGAGTGAAAAACGATGATAAGTCACTTTTTTCAGTGCTGCTGTTTGAACGGTCACTATACGAATGGTTGTAAGCCAAGGACTACCTGTATTGATTAACCAATGAACACTATAGTCATGCACCCAAATGTGTGGGCCTAAAAGACCTAACAGCATTAAGATCTGATTTACCTGCTTCTGTCCTCTTGACATTATTGTTTCCCATCCAGTGCATCATAACCTATCTAAGGAGAAAGAGACATCCTCCAATAGGCTACTGCCACATAATCACAGCATTCCCCTGGACGTGAGGGAGGCTCTTTTACAATCTGCAAACATCCTCACAGAAACACATATGACTTTATTCCATACTTGTACTCCTCACTTAATTAGCTGCTTAGTGACCATTCAAAATTCCAACAGATGCTCCAAAGGAACAACCTGAGTCTGGAATTCCGAGAGCAGCATCCCACTGTGGTCACATCACCATATGTCCAGTGTTTGGCAACTGACTCACTTTTCTGGCTAGTTGCAGGGTTCAAAGTCACATGACCACGATTTACATGTCATTTGCTGGTTTTTCCAACAAAAACCATCCACAGGAATGAATTGACTTGCTTTATGACCACTGCGTTCACTTTACAACCACTGCATAAAAGATAGTAAAACTGTGTCAGTCATGTGGATGTTTCCAACTTACAACCATCATGACTTACGATGGAAATTCCGGACTCCACCATGGTCATAAGTAGAGATTTCCCTGATGGATCACCTTGTCAGTCCTGCCCCATCTTAGTCTTCCAGAGAAGAAAGACTCTTGACTCGATTTATAGTGAAAATTCTTTTACTAAGAAGCCAAGTGGTTACAGTAAAGCAAAGCCAGAACTGAAGTTTTGAGCACAAAAGTTTCCCAGTTAACTTTCCCATTTGCATTCCTCCGTTATCTCCCAACTGACCAGCTACATTCAAAGAAGTTGTTTTGGTAACCATACCTGCAAAGGCAGGCTAAAACTCAAACCATTACATTCCATTTTCCGGCTTATGGCCTGGGGTGATGAGCTGGTGTCTCAGAACAGCATGGTGCTTAGTTTCACTTTCCCCTTTCTCCCCCCCCCCCCATTGTTCATGGCAGGCTGACATCTAGCTAAGCAAAGCTGGAGTGAAGGAAGGCAGTTCTGACACACCTGGCGATATCAACTGTGACCCTTACACTCCACAGAACACTGGAAAAAGACACTGCTTCTTAAGCTCCCTAAACAAGAACACATAACTTCCACAGTATATTCATCATGTTGGAAGCACCACTTCATCTAAAGTATGTTTCTGTTCCTCACCTAAAATATGCCACAAAATCAGCCAGTAACTCAAGGAGGGGTTACTGGAACAGAAGCCAACATACTATGACAAACCAAACAAAAAGCACCAGAGTTTTGTGGCTTCCCCCAAACTCTCATTTGAATCTCTTTCACTTTACTAAGCATGGTAAATTCTCTAGTCAAAGAAACAAAATGGAAGAAAGTTTTTAGGACATCCACACGTTTTGTTCACACACCAAATTATTATCAGTTTGTGTCCTCTATCCTGATTTTATCATTGCTTAAACCCCATGATGCAAACGGGGCATAGAGTTATCTTGGTGATTTGGGCTGCATATAAATAAACAAATGAGAAGAGACGAAACTTGCAAACCTGTGATTGTGACGTTTCTCTGAATTCTGCTGGGAGCCAAAGTTTGGATGCTGTTGCTGCTGCTGCTGCTGCTCCAAAGAGCTGAAGTTCTGATTTGTTACTACAAAGGGACGCTTTGGAAGGTTGAATTTTAGACCACCAGACCCAGGTGCTTCTGTTTATAGAAAGAGGATTCATAGGTGTATGTACATGGATGTTTTAAAAAAAATATTTTGCAGATTTAGTAGCCCCCCCCCCCCAATCTACATATAAATCTTCCCCTCAAGAGACACAGACATGCCAAGGATTATTTTAATGGATTTTGATACTCCCAAAATTTGAGACCGCATATGTGAGGAAACAGCCTTATGCATTCACAAGTGCCCTTATTGCAGTACCAAGAGCATTTTATGCATTTTCATAAACATTATGGGATATAAGCTATAGTTTCCATTTAAGCTATACATAGCTCTTGCTACAACTCTTCAGACAAAGGCAAAAATTTAGTTTGATTCCAATATAAGGGACTGAATCCACAGAGCTCCTAACGTGAATGAAAGGTTTCCCACTTGCCCACAGGGACCCATAAATACCAAACTCCTATTCCATTATATCCTCCTCTATCAATTTATTCACCAACTTCCTTCCATTCCCATTCTTAATGCTGAACTAACAACAACAACAATAAAATCATGATTCTAGAATCTGGCCATTTTGCTGCTTGAATTTGACAACACATTCTTGGAGTTACGCTAAGATGCTCAAGGCTACCTGTGGTTTGCAGGCTATCCACTATATCCTCAGGGGACTAAAATGTCAGCAGCAGGCAAGCTCCAACCATGATGGTGATTCCCAAAGCCCAAATGAGATTTCCAAGTTCAGTAAAGTGGAAGCTTTTGTACCACTGTCCAACAGAGATGGGGGGGGGGGGGCGCGACTGTATGTACCGTGCCAACAATTCCTCTTTTAATCCATAACAGAAACTTGAAGTTAATCAAAGTTGGTTTAATATGCCTTCCTGAATGGTCAGTAGCTCTTTTAAAAATTGGATATTATTAATTTTACAGTAGAGAACACTCTCCATTTGCCAGCTGAGCTAAATTGGTTACAAATGTCTTGGCAACTCTTTCTATAGGTTCAATCCAACAAATGAATGAAAACCATTTGTGAGTATGACACAGGAAGCTACGCATTTCAGAGACGTTTCCTTTTCTCTTTCCATCTCCCTATACGCTAATAAACCTCAAAGCAGAAGTTACCTCATTAAAGCAAAAGCTTTAAATTGTGCCAGAGAAGATGGCATAGCTGGTAATACATCAGCAGCCGGAAATAAAACTTCCTCCAGATACTGCCAACTCCCCTTCCCAGTTAACAGAGTCCCTGAAGGTGCTTTGCCTTCCCTTCCCAAAGGCCTGCACAAGACCCTCCACCTCCACCCCCAGAAGCTCACGTTTCATGCGGTTCCACAGCTGCTGTCCTTTCTTGGGCTTGGCTGCTTCCTGGTAAGAGTGCTGCTGCTGCTGGTTATAGGAGGCACTTGACTGGTTTGGCTGAGAGTGCAACCCTCCAGGAGGACCACCCTGCTGCTGCTGCCCCCCAGGGCCCATGGATAGGTTGCTATGCTGTGAAGGGTGGTTGGGATGCTGCATAGGGGACTGTGGTGGGTTAGGGATTTGCATTTGCTGAGGCTGGCTTGAGTACGACATCCCTCCGTCTTCCATGCCTGGGACGGGAGGCTAGAGAAAGGAGATTTGTGTCGTTAATATCTCTGCCAGCCCCATTTTTAAAAAAAACAGTTCAAAGCAGAGAGCTTACGATGGAGTTGGGAGTTCGCTCAACCCCTTTCTCTTTATCTTGTGTAAGCTGATATAAAGATGGACAACTTATATTTTTTCTGTACTGTTACAACTGCTTACACCAGGGGTTCCCAACCAGGGGTGCTTGCACCCCGAGGGTGCAAAATGATATTCCAGAGGATGCGAAAACTTGGGTTTTGAAAATTATAGTGTATATGCATAATTCACTGTTATTTTGAACTTTTGTAAGGGGTGTGAGAATAGAAGCGTTCTAGGGGGGCGGGGTATAGAAAGGTTTGGGAACCACTGGCTTACACCAAGGTAGCATTACAACCAGAAAACCTGCTCATCAACTGCACACACTGAGGGGCCATTACAGTCAGAAACTTTTAGGAAATTATCAGAAAAATCAAACCATCTTACTACTCAGCCATCTCTTCTTCATAAATTGTGAAGATAGTACTGAGAATTTCTGAAATGAATTTTGAATTTTTTGTGATTTGGATTTGTGTACTTATATTTCCCCCGCTACTGTATTTAAAATATATAAAAAACCCAGTATTTAAATAAAGTGAAATGTATTACCTGGCTCATACTCCCTTGGTGCTGCCCAGGAACTGGTGGCTGTTGGGGTGTTGAGGAGTAAGAGCCTGGGACACCATACTGCCCGGGAGAACCATACCCAGAGTAGACATTTTGCTGGGAAGGCAAATCATGGATCAGTGAAGAGATACTTTACACCCGGGGTGTCAAACTGGCAGCCTGCAGGCCGGATGCGTCACGTGTAGGCCACGCCCACCCCGGGCTCCACAAAGCCAAAAAAACCCATCGCGATATGTCACAATACGTCACATGATATAATCGAGTTTGACACCTGTGCTTTACACAATAGGTAATATATAATTTTTGTATAAAAACAGAAGCTAACTGGATTTCCACTCAAGGTCTTCTCTTGCCTGGATTCCATTTAGTGGATTTCTAACTTTTTGAAATCCTGGTCTCTCTTTTTACAAACTTTATGAAACTCTACATTTATCTCATACATATAATAGGTATGTAGAGTCCCGTGGCGAAGCCATTTCCCTAGCCCAGGGGTAGGCAACCTTGGCTCTTTTATGACTTGTGGACTTCAACCAAAGAGAGAAGCAACCTAGAACTAAGGAGAAACTTCCTGACAGTTAGAACAATTAACCAGTGGAACAACCTGCCTCCAGAAGCGGTGAATGCTCCAACACTGGAAGTTTTTAAGAAGAAACTGGACAGCCATTTGTCCAAAATGAGCAGGGGGTTGGACTAGATGACCTCCAAGATCCCTTCCAACTTTATCATCATCATCATCATCATTATTATTATTATTAACTCCCAGAATTCCTGAGCCAGCTCGAGTCATAAAAGAGTCAAGGTTGCCTACCCGTCCTAGCCCTTGTGAGCAGCTTTTTTCACAAGTTAATAAGCTCTGCTCTGGGACTTAATTAGTTCTTAAAAACCTCTGGTCCTCTTGCAAGGCTGCCTGAAATTGACCTGAATCAGTCACACACACCAGGCTTTTGCCCCCTAAGAGTCTTGCTAGGAAACAGCACATTCCTTTCAATGTGCATTCCCCACTGTGTGCCAACATTCCAAAAAGTGGAGGAGAAAGGAAAAGGTTCATTCCATAAACCCAGCCGATGTCCTTGCCATTTGGGCTCACCCAGCAGGCCGGCACTGTGAATATATGCAAGGTCAATTTCTGAATAAACATTTGCTAACAGGTTTGTTATCAGCCTGGTGTCTTCCTTGATGTTCTCACTCTTTGGTATCGATCCTGCAAATCCTTAACTAAATTTTGGCACACAAATTAGCAGCAACAAGGACCTATTTGCTTTCATCACACAATGTGGCCACTTGGGATCCTTCTGTTAAAAACTGTGTGGGGTTGGAGGGCATAGGTAAAGCTCAATGAATATGGAAAATTCTGCCTTGCCTTATTTATTCTGAAGTATTGTACTCTGCTTTAAAAGACTGAATCCCTCTTCACCCTGGTTTAAGACATTTTAAAAAGACCTTATGAGATTAGCCAAATGATATTACTTACCATAGGATAATAATAATTATAGGGATAGAGATAGCTATATTGTTGATACCACTGGTAGTACTGCTGTTGCTGCTGCAGGGATTCTCCTTGCTGTGCTGTGTACTGTGAAAAGTAGAAATGTGTCATGCATTGATCAAAATGGTTACACCCACGACTACAAAATGAAAGTACTTGTCTAACAAGTCCAAATCTTTTCCTCTAATTAATTTCAGGAAGGCAGATTAGCACGTGGCAGTCCAGTGCGTAAGAATCCTCAAAATGCAGACTCTAAAGCCATTTCAGAATATAGAGGTTCTCTTCCTTTTACATACTCCCCAATTTTTAAAAAAACAGTGTGTTCGAATCCCAAAGGTGCCTTTTCACTAGGCAATTGGACTTTGGTTTTGCTCTGAAAATGTTTCACTTCTCATCCAAGCTTCTTCAGCTCTGACTGGATGGTGAGGAATTGAAGGATTTATACTCCTTGCAGACAGCTGTCATTTGCATTCTTTTAGGAGAACAAACCATCAGGACAAGCAGTCAATCTGCATTTAAAAGACACTCTTTCGAAGTCAGCAAAGTCCACATTTTGAACAGCCGTCTCTCAATAGAAGGGGAGAGATAGGACATCATCTATCTCCAGTCTACAATACAGTCCTTTCAACAGTTCCAAGAAGGCTCCATACCCATTTGCACTACTCAGGAGACCCTGACGATACAGGTGGCCTCAATGACTCTCCAAAAAAAGGCAAATGACCATGTCTGCAAGGAATATAAAACCTTATATTCCCTACCATCTAGTCAGAGCTGAAGAAGCTTCTCTTTTTTGTAATATATTTTATTGATTTTTTAAAAAACATAAATCACAATAATTGGTGAACAGTGTGTTGTCTGGGTTACATTTATAAAACAATCATTAACAATTGATTTCTATAATCCATAATCCACATAATGGTTTTAGTTGATTTCCTCTTTTCCCAAAATATCCTCTTTTGCAAACATTGAGTTATACAATTCTTGTTTTGATAGATAACAATTAAATATATAATTTTTCCCCAATATTCCTAAAAATAATAATCACATCAATATAATATTTCTTTTCTATCCAATCATTCTGGTTGCCTTATCATGGATCCTGTTACAGTCCTTATTTTAATTTGTTTCTCCCACCAAATTCTAGGTATTCTTACTGGTTAAGATTTTCTCAAAAATTAATTACATTTAAAATTTTAACTATTTTTCCATATGAACCATCTCACACTTTTACATTTCTTAAGGAATAGATAAAACAATGAAAAAAAAAGAAAGGAGAGCAAGAGTAAAGAAATATAAAAGATGACATACTATTTAAAATATATATCCCTCCTAAGCTAATATATATTTATTTCCTAAATTTCTTGGATGAGAAATGAAAGGTTTTCAAAGGAAAAACAAGAAAGTTCAGTTGCCTCGTGAAAAAGCATCTTTGGGACAACCATGACCTGGATGACTGAGAATCTCCATAGACATTTAGTATGTTCCAGTGTCTCCAAGAGATACATCAATAGAATACTGACATTAATTTCATTCATTTCCAGCTTCCCCACTTAAGACTCATGTGACCTTGTAGAAAACTCTCCTCAGAATACTGACTTTGAATAGGGTTTGATTTCTTATTGATTCTAAAACCCAAGTTAGCAGCAAACAAAATGAAGTAAATTTTAGTCTCACTCTTAAATGACCAAGGCTGATACAAATAATTGTATGTTTTCAAATTATAAATTTAAGGCACAAACAGCAATGCAAAGACATCTAAAGCATTGTTGGCTCCTTCTTACCTGTGTGTTAGCTTGACCGTTGGTGGCACCTTTACTGTTGCCAGAAGCAGCTGCAGCATTGGCCTTGCTAATATTAGCCAGCGCTTGCCGGGCCTTCTCCCATTCGGGGTTCTCATGCATTGGGCCTTCCATCCCGTTTTCTCTGGTGCTTGAAGTACCCAGGTTGTACTGTGAAACCCTATAAAGTCGAAGAGGCAGTAGATGAAAAAGAGAAAGTTGCAGGGATTTTTATTCCCATGTATCATTGCTATAGCCTTGAAATCACAAAGCAACTTTTAGATATGCTTGTCTTCAGTTTACAGAACTTGCTACCCAAGAGTGCTAGCAAGAACATCTGGTAGGTTTAATCTGTTTTTCCACACTTACCACCACGGCAGCATCCCCATGATCATGTGACCAAAATTTGGGCCCTTAGCAACTGGCATGTATTTATGTTGGATGCAGTGTCCCAAGGTCATGTGATCACCTTTTGCGTCCTTCTGACAAGCAAAATCAATGCGGATTCACTAAATATCCATATCACTACCTCAACAACTACAGTGACTCATTTAACAACTGTTGCAAGAAAAGTAGTAAAAATGGGGTAATGTTCACTTAATACTATCTTGCTTAGCAATAGAAATTTTAGGCTCAATTGTGTCTGTAAGTCAAGGACTACCTGTATAAATTGTTTTTGCCTCAAACTGTCATCACTCTTTTCAGAGTAGGGGTAGGCAACATCTGGCTCCAGGATGTTAGACTGAAACTTCCCATATCACTCATCTTGCTGACCAGCAGATGATGAAACTTGAGTAACAGTGGAGGGCCAGATCCTGCCCACTTGTGATTTAAAATTTTGTGAATGACATTAATGTACATTCTTGTTTACTGGCTTTTTATAATATATATTTCTCAGATATGTCAGGAAAATTAAATTTTTTAATGAGACAGTAATTTTAGACAGTTGCTAGAACACAAAATTCTGGGATCTTTACCTCATCTCAAATGAGCAACATGCTTTTCCTGCCAGCAAGAATAGAAGTGCCTTCTGTGCTGTTTAGTATTATGTACTGAGAAATTTGGCTTCTCCTTCTAGCAAAATTTGTTTAGTCACTCCAACTGGCAAGCATAAGCAGTTTTGCTCAACTAATAACTAGACATACTTAGTTTCACAATTCTTCCCCCTTCAAAATGTATGTTGTGGTTAAGTCTGTAAAGTGCCATGAGATACTAGATTTTTTAAGAATTAGAATTTTTATTCATATATGCGAGCAATGCCACAAAAATCACTTTCCCATTTAATATTAAGGCTTTGAGAAAGTTTTTCCAATTTTTATCTTTCTTTCTTTCTTTTTTTTGTAAGTTTGAGAGCCTGCCCTCTTATTATGTTCTGGTGATAGGAGTAACTTTAAGAGACTGCTTATGCCTAGCTGCCTTACAACCAAATTCTCAGGACAGCTTACAATAAAAATAAGAACAAATTAAAGCTGCCTATATATGACAAAATAGCCAAAAATAAAATTGTCAATATTCATGCAAATTTTACTAAGACAATATGGCAACAACATTTAACATTATTTGCCCAGGAAAACGTGTTTATCAAGTAATGAATGAGCCAAAACCAATACTCACCCACATCTGATGGCTAAAATAGTTATATTTAATTGGAAAGTGTTACTTAACCTATCCATCTACCATGATATCTTGATGGTCAACTATGTAAGACCTATAAGGCTGTGACATCATCAGCATTATGATGTCATAAGCAGAATGTCAACTTCAACTTGAATCAAGTCTAAGAAAGTGTTTTGGCTTTGATTTTTTTTGGGTTACCAAATATTGCTTTTTAAATAATGCACCTCACTCTTCTTTCCTGTTAAAATTCAAACTCCCCCTGGTCTAACTGGTGACAACTATTTAGCTAGAACTGTCTGTAACAAATAGAACTTTTTTGTACAATAGATCAAATGGATTATCCAAATAGCTTGGACAAATACAATAATACAAATACTGTTTAATACAAATACTGTTTCAATTACTTGTCAAAAAAACTCAAGAGTCAGAGAATATCTCACGAAATTGCATTCTTTGGACATATAAATATTTAGCTAACACTACATTCACTCAGAAAGAAGTAATTACAAATCTTTACTGATACGAGATTTTTCTACTCTATATAGTCTCTTATTTCCAATATCTAATTTATAAAGTTCTAAAATATTTTATCTAACCTTAATTATTTTACTTATTTAAAAAGTACACAACACAAATCCAAGAAAGTGTGTATTAGTTTTAAAGTCTTTTATAGCGGAAACCAAAGCCAAATCTTCAGGATAAATTCTTTATCCTTTCACATGCAAAAGGAAGTTAACTCTAATGGAGATGATGATCCAACTAGAAAGATTGGATCAGTCCCACAGGTTAGCAATAACTGAAATATAAAGTTAGATAAAATAAGAATAAAAAAGCAAATCCAAATTGTTTACAGAAATGAGATGATCTGAAAAATTTGAAAAAAATTACACTATTTTAAAATATATATATAAACAATTCTGAAAATTCATTTTTTAAAAAAAAAACAAAACTAATTGAGACATGTCAGAATTCAGTAGCCTTGCCCTCCCATAAGTACAAAGGGATTGGAGTTGCTTTTCTTCCCTCTTCCTCAGTTTTAAGTTTGACTGTGATATTATCAGTTGTAGCTTAGACTCCTCACCTTAGAAATAACAAAAAAAAAATAAAATCCAACATCTAGTATCTTTCAATTCACAAGTGAATAATGTGTATTTCAAAAGATGTTCCTGTACCGGCAACCATTACAGCAGATGGGAATTGGTCCATCAACAAGTTAATCTGCTTTTAAAAACAAACACCTACTTAAAAAATAGTTAGCGCGTCATTTGGCATAAACAATGCCAAGTAATAAGGCTTTGTTACCATAGTAGACACTTATTTCAAATCTGCTCAATCCTACCCAAACCTTAAATTCTTTTCCTCCCCACCCAGGAGCTGAAATTAAAATAAAGGTTTGCAATCACCATTCTGAAGAATGCTGGTCTCCTATATTGGCAGCCATAATCTAATTCGTACAACAGGCAAACAGGTAGGTATCGAATGGCTGCAAATCCACAGCCTGGAAACGGGTCTTTCCTTCGTTCTTCTTCCACAAGTAGAGGCCAAACAAAGGACATTAACCAGGGAACAGGCACATCTCAAAATCGTGGCTACACCTCTTTAGCACGCTTTCTGATGCCCCTTTTCATCCTAGGGCAAGGGCTCAAGAGCCTCGGGAACTTTTAAGATTTCACAACTAGTAGTAGACCCCTCTTCGAGCTTATTCCAACCAAACGAGATGCTGTGTAGTCCTATCAGCCCACGTTTTTTTCCTCTGGGGCTTTATATTCTTTGCGCCCCCGTTTGTTATTACGTCGCATGTGAGGCCCTTCTGTATTGTAACACACTCTCTCTTTCTGAAGTATTAAAGGCTAAGATTCCCCCACCCTCGGGCCCAAAAACTTCACCCACAACTCTCTTCCTTGGCAGCAGACCCCGGCCCACCCTTCCCTGCTATCCCCTCTCAGGCACCCCGAAAAAGAGACTCCCACCAAAAGTTTACTCGCTCGCTCGCTGCCTGCCTACCACAGGCACCCCTGCACGAGCTGGTTTCGGCCTTTCCCCCGCGCGGCCCTTACTCCAGGCGGTCTCGCTGCCCTCGCCCACCCACTCCTGACCGCTTCCTCCTCCTGCCCTCAGCCTAACGGAAGGAGCGGCGAGCCACCCGCTCAAGCCCCGACCGCCTCGTCGCCCGTGGCAAAAGAAAGCCCTGGCGCCACAGTCCGAAGCAGGCCGCAGGTTTCGTCGGCTCGAGTGCGGAGAAGAAGAAGAGCGCTTCCCAAAATGGCGCCCGCTGACTCTTCCCTTCCTCTCCCAGTCTCGGCTGCCAGATTCCTTCCTTCCGGTTGCCCCCAGGAAGCGGTACGCGTGAGGGCGGCGAAAGAGAGGACGCCGAACCTGCCTGGTGACGTCACGCCGCGCAGGCGACGTTCGGCGGAACTTCCTCACGTGGTTTGTTCTGGACTCTGGAAGCGTGGAACTACAACTCCCATGACCCCGCTGGTATCATTTCACTTCAATCTGATGGGATCCACACCGGATGTTTTCCCAGGACGTGGGAGACGCAGGTTGTAATTTCCATTCACCTCAGTGTCTTTGGCTCGTTCGTTTTCTTTTATCCTAACCCAGGGGTAGGCAACTTCGGCTCTTTTATGACTCATGGACTTCAACTCCCAGAATTCCTGAGTCAGCTATGCTGACTCAGGAATTCTGGGAGTTGAAGTCCATGAGTCATAAAAGAGCCGAGGTTGCCTACCCCTGTCCTAACCCGCCTTACGCAGTTGTTGTGAGGATACAAACGGGGTAAAGGAGACTCAAGGTCCCCTGCCTTGAAGATCCAGAAGAAAGACAAAACACACATGAAATAAAGAAATAAACCTTCTCTCCCCCATCCCTTCTCTTTTACCAGCCAAATAACTTTAGTAGCTGGGCAAAAGAAAATTCGGATAGTTGGGCTTGCTTTTCCATTAATACGACGGTAATTTTTTGGTTTCTGCGATCTGCTAGGCAAGGATGAAAAGTTGCACTATTGCAGATCCCATTTCCCAGATGTAAAGAGTACTTTGTCCTTTCTGAAAGCAATTATCCTCCCTTCTCCCTCCCCCCCTTTTTTTCCTTTTTACAATTTTCCCACCCCAAAAAAGAACAATTGCTTTTGTAGCATGAGCAACTTTTCTTGGCTCTTGGTCAAATCAACTGTCTTCTGTGTGCACTGGCTTCTGTACCATCTAACTGGCCCCTGGATCCATCTGCAGCATTTCATGCTCCATCGCTAGGGTGACATGATAGCAGTATTCCAGTATTTGAGGGGCTGCCATAAAGAAGAGGGGGTCAACTTATTCTCCAAAGCATTAGAGGGCAGGACAAGAAACAATGCATGGAAACAAATCAAGGAGAGAAGCAGCCTGGAATTAAGGAGAAATTCCTTAACAGGGAAGACAATCAGTGGAATGCCTTGCTTTCAGAAGTTGTGGGTGCTTCATCACTGGAGGTTTTTAAGACGAGACTGGACATATTTTGTCTATTTTATTCCTCTAGCAAGTTGTCTATATCAAGTTCAAAGAAAGACACTGATGAAGTGGATAGGCTTCCTGAGGAAGTGCCTGTGGAGATTCTTAATCATCCAGGTCATAGTTGTCTGAAAAGTGCTATTTTTCTTCAAAAGGCGACTGGACCATTTTTTTCTTTGAGGAGGAAGAAGAAAATGTTTCAGTTCTCATCCAAGAAGTTCTGGTGGTGGTGGGGGGGGTAGGATAGGTGCTGACAATTGAGCCTGGACAGTGGGGGGGGGGGGGAATGGAAGGATAGATTTTGATAGAATGGCGGGCGGGAGGGAGTGGAAGAATTGTATTTTTTTTTTTGCAGTCATCTGGTCGTTAGCACTCTCTCTGAGAGTTGTTGAGGCCACTGAGGGTTTATCTATGCCCTCAGGGTCACCTGAATCAGGGTACAATTGGTTGTGGAATCTTCTTGGAACTGCTGCAAGGTAAGTGGTGTCTTATTCCTCTTCCTCTGTAGAAAGTGGTGTTCAAGTCTAACATATATGGATTCTTTTACCCCTCTTTCAAACTAATGGGCTTCTCTGTCCAAAATGTAGACTTGGCTGTCTTCAAAAGAGTGACCTTTGTCTTTCAAAATTAGAGGGACTGCTGAATCTTGTCCTGATGAGTTTGATCTCCCATGTTGTGCCATGCGCTTGTGAAGTGATGAAGTTTTACTTTATCCCCTATCACATTGGTCTCTCATCATAGTTAGGATTAGCACTGAATTTTGGTATCCTTGTATATTTGTCCATATATTCTGATAGGGCTGATGTCGGGCACATCGAAAGAACAACATAGAATAATCCAGTCAAAGTTCAGTTCTTCATTTGCCTTCATCCAATAGACAGAATCTTGCCAGACTAAACCTTTAATACTGGTCACCCAACCCTGGGAGATTCTAAGGAGTTCCTATCCTTATTCTCATCCTCTGTTTCCCATCTAACTCTCAATTGTGTTGTGTCTTGTCTCCTGCCCCTCTGGTCATAGGGGGTGAGGGGGGGGGGGTCATTCAGATTTTTGTGAATGGAAAATTCACAAAAGAAGATCTTGGAAGCAGCTGCTGTTGTTTGCCTACTTTCTCTGTGTTTAAAAGTAAAGTAATCTTAATAAAAGGAAAAGTGTGCCAGTCAAGGAATATTGCACACTTGATGCACAGTTATGTTTTGGATCTTGAAAGCAGGGGTGGGCCTAACCATCAGGCATTGCTTGGGGAGTGTCAGATCAGATATTTTTAAATGGCGCAGGCATTAGCAAAGGGAAATGAGTTGTGAAGGATGGTACCTACGGAAGAGTTGGTGGAACACAAGGAGGGGCAGGAGCACTCAAAATGCGGTCACGTGACTGTGATAGGACGGGCTCGATGTCAGAACTTTGAAATCAGATCATAAGTAGATTTTTTTGGGGGGGAGGGATCTGTGATAAGTTTCAACAGTTGCTAAACGATCGATTGTAAATCGAGGACTAGGCAAAGTGGCTGCAGTTCAGTGCTTCCTATGCCAGACAAAAGACAAAAGGGAAAGTCGGTAGAGGGGGTAGCAATGAATTATCTTGAGGAGGGGGGGCACTAATGAGAGTGACAGAGAACAGCATTAATGGGTTGCTTTCTAGTTTTCTCAACCCCTATGGTAGTCATTATGTGAATAAGGAAGCCCTCCATGAGAGCCCCCTTCTTTATTCTGAACATGCAAATGGAGTCCCAGTTGGGTGGGACACACTGTTCAACAGCAATGTAAGAATAGATGACTTAACCCATGGTCCTCAATCCCTGGGCTGCAGCCCATTTCCGGGCCTTGAGCCGTTTAAAACCGGGTCACAGAAATAGTGGGCAAGTGTGCGGGCATGCACCCCCACTTGTGCGAGTAGCAGGCACGCTGCTCACCACTCGCACAGAATCATCCTCTTAACTCCCCCAGCCAGTCTGCAAAGCTGGAAAGTTTGGGGAACTCTGACTTAACCCACTGCTCAGCACTGGCAGGAAGCATTGTCATGTAATCAGATAAACTTGGAGTTTGCTATGACTGAGCAGGGGGTTGGACTAGATGACTTCAAGGTCCCTTCCAACTTTATTATTATTATTATTATTATTATTATTATTATTATTATTATTATTATTATTATTATTATTATTATTATTATGGATCATCGCACAGTCAGCCAGATGTTCAGACTGGATTTGGCATTTTTATTATTATTATTATTATTATTATTATTATTATTATTATTATTATTATTATTATTATTATTATTATTATTATTATTATAGCCAGTGGGGGCTTTGCCAGAAGCTCTTCCGACCTGGAAGTAGCCTCCTTTATGCTTCTTATGTTGGATAACATAATTCTAAATGAAATCAGAAGAAGAAAGAAACTCATTTGTGACTGGATAAATCAACCTTGTCCAGACATTTTAAAGGTAAGTGGAAATGGAATCTGAGAGGACTATGCACGTGAACAGAAGGACTAAATACAGAATCCACTTTTCCAAATTCAGGGGCTGAGATGACACAAGGCTTCACACATTCTGTCCTCAATTTACAATCATTTGTTTAGTGACAGTTTTCAGTTACAACGGCACTGAAAAAAGTGACTTATGACAGTTCGTCATATTTAGTGACCATTACAGCACCCCCATGGTCATGTGATCAATTCAGATGCTTAGCAACTAGTTCATATTTATGACCGTTGCAGTGTCTTAGAGTCAAGTGATCACCATTTGTAACCTTCTGACAAGCAAAGTCAATGGGGAACCCAGATTCACTTAACAACCATGTTACCAACTTAACAACTGCAGTGATTCACTTAACAACCGTGGCAAGAAAGATCATAAAATGGGGCAAAACTCACATAACAGCTATCTTTCATATCAGTGGAAATTTTGGGCTCAATTGTGGTTGTAATTCGAGGACTATCTGTATCACAGCAAATGCAATGGTTAGAAAAAGCTCATCTTCATATTATATTTAGCCCATACCAGTCACTGGAAGAGGACAGAAAGAGTAGCCGGCACAAGATGCTCAACAACTAGTAGATATGGTATATCAATGCTATGAAGAGCTTAATCAAGAGAGGAAATAGTATCTTTACTCTGACTTGGGACAGTAAAGTTCATTGTACAATACATTGTGTTTTGATGCGTTCTATCAGTGACCTTGAGTAGTGAACACAGACAGAAGTGGAAATA